TATGAGAAGAATTAGAGAAATGTACAGGGTAGTACAGGAAAGACTAGAACATGAATCTCGGCGAAGGGAACCGCCGATACAGACGAAGGACCCGCCACTCAAACTGAATGACAGGGTATTACTGCGTAGCCACCCGTTAGGCAGAAACAAAATCCACGATCTCTGGGGACAGGAGATATGGCAAGTCGTGGAGATGCCTAAAGTAGCAGGTGGCCCCTTTAAGATAAGACCCATCGATCACGCCAAACCGGATCGGTGGGCGAATATTGCTCAATTAAAGAAATATTGGAATAGGCAAGAAGAGCAGTTACACACAGAGAAACCCAAGACAATTAGGGAACCGGAAGTTATAACGGAAATTCACATACCCATTCCGGAACCATATCACCATCAACAGAACAAACGCGATATACAAGTGGAGGATACCGGCAACAATGAGGATCCCGGTCCCTCCAGAAGCAGAGAGACAGTAGACCATCAGATAAGTGGTCCGCGGAGAAGTTTAAGGAACAGAAGGAATACGAAATTTTTTGTCAGCAACCATCAATTCTTTCATGGTCGCGCTGGTATGAAAACAGACTGTTCAAAGAGCTATAGAAGTGAACTGGTGAAGGCACCAAATGGAAAGGGTGGATGTGAATTCTAGAACTGTTTTGTGTCTCAGAAAGATGATGTAGACACAGTTGATATGTGAAATAGGTAGAACTGTCAATCGTATACGAATGGAACGTCGTGGACAGTGAGTGGAACAATAGATTTTTTTTTACGACTGTGCGATTGACTTTGGAGGAGTGCACCTGCCAGGCGTTGTTTGTGGTTGAAAACACACAAAAAAAAGCAGGGGTGGATGTAACTGGGGTAGGCCTAACTACCAGTTACAAATGATAACGAACGAGAAGCCGAGACACAGTGTTGGTCTGATGCAACCGATAACAGGTGGCTTATTGGGTCGGGCTGATAACAACCTCAAAGCCAACGCGTGCTATTTTGGGAAACGGTATTCAGACGGCCTGTCAACTTTGATGGATAGGACGCAGATGTTATTTTACGGTCTGTACGTTTGAACTACGCAACTGGTGGTCGGAGATCGAGTACAAGTATCGATTACGGAGGAATACAAGTACGGGGACGAGTACGGATACAAGGCATAAATAGGAGGGCACGGCAGGACTCGCTCTCTCTCTTCCCGTTTCAGCGAGCTCTCTTCCATCTTCATCGCTCGCTTAGATCAGTCAGTCTGTGTGACTATGTCAAGTCGGTTATAGAACGGGTTAGCCGTATTGTGTTAAGGAGGATTATAGACATGTGGAGTCAGTTATATAAAGCCTAGTGAAGGACTGTTAGGGGTCAGTTGATTCAGACTATTATTGAGAAGCATTCCTGTTGATTTATTGTGTTATTATGAAGCATTTCTTGATTCATGTAATAAAGGATCAATAGCGAACCTGCATCTTGAGTATCTATACTGTGGTCAATGTTGTCTAGAATGAGTGGTTAAACTCGTTAACACGTGGCACTACAGGCAATTAGGTCTCATTACATGTGGCGTTGCGAGCATGGTAACTGTTGGCTCGTTACAATTGGCGTTGTCGGCAGGATAAATGTTCGCTCGTCACATATATATATATATATATATATATATATATATATATATATATATATATATATATATATATATATATATATATATATATATATATATATATATATATATATATATATGTGGGGCCAAAAAAATTTTTTTGCGGGGTGGCCCTTTTTTTCTAGTTCCGCCACTGGGTGAGAGGGGGGGAGGGGAGAGAGTTGGGAAGGTTCATTGGAAGGGGACAAGAAAGCGCCGATAAACATCTACATCAATAGTGCCGACTTTTTCCGGTCGTCTAGAAGACCAGGATAGTCGCCGCAACATTTCCCCAGCCCGATTTCAAAGCGTGCCGGCACAGTCAAATTTCAGATGTTTCGCTACAAGTTTCTTGATACAGTTGTTAAAGTAAAAATGAACGCAATTATAAATGTATGAGATCGAAATAAATAATTATATTTTTGTAGAATTCAGGCCAGTAGTTTAAACACACAATCATAGATATGTATTTTAATAATGTAAACAATATAACAATGCTTTTTTGTTCTCCTAATCGACGCCACTCAAAAGAACGGTAGGCTACGTCTTTGAAGTTGTCTATTTGTCTGGCGGTCTCTCGAGCTATAGTCTGTGTATTTTTCTCAAAGACGTTTGCCGACTATCGTGTTTTTTTTGTAACTGTAGAAGAAAGATAACTCGACCTCCACCTAATTTTTTTTTAATTTTTTTTAAAAATAATTTAGCCAGGATTTTTGGGCCCCTAATCGGTCTGGGCCCCCCCGCATTGCGGGGTCTGGCGGCACTGTAGTTCCGCCCCTGCCATGGTTTAGTCTCAGCTTAATTGTATTGGCTGAGAGATAACCCCAGACACAATCTAATTTGATCGCAGCTGTTGTTTGAAATACCTGGTTAATGCTGTTGTTGTGGGGAATGTTCAGTTTACCCCCACCCCCCTGCCACCACACCCCACTTCCAGCTTGCTGTACAACACACCACAGCTCATTATGTCCAAGTAATGTTTAATTTAATAAGATAGGTTTCTCAGTCCGAAACCTTGTCTAGTGTACATAGTACCATATTTTTGTCGCGCCCTAATATGTACAGTCTATCTAAAGATATTTAACTACCTCTTGCAGATATGTACATAATATGCAACCATCTCTATAGATCTTGTATCCAGCTTTGTTTTTTTTTTAATAAAAAGTCATCATTGGTCAGCATACTTAAATATACGGTATCGTTTAATATTACTTAAATTTTAGATAGTTTGTTAGTCTACGGTATTTGTGTCGGCCCAGCGCTAACCAGCCGGCACCATCATTTCAACTGATGACACTGTAGCCCAGATCTATAGTTAGTAGGGCGGATACGCACGCTGAGTTCATTGACCTCCCGGGGTGATTGTTGCTAGCTGTTGATTGCTTGTTGTTGAAATGTTGATGGTTGCTTGCATGCTGTTGATGCGACTACCGGTGTGTTGTCTACATTACTAGTTCCCATTTTGGGCGAGCGTGGGCGCTTAATTCCTTCAAATTGTGTTTAACAAAAGATGTGGGTGGGGGGGGGGGGGGGGGGGGTAAAACCCTCTGCTTTGTGTAGCGTTGGACTTGGTTTTGTTTGGCTGTATAGGCTCCTACAGACATAAAAATCAGCACCGGTGTCGTTTCAGGGGAAACTACCAGGTACTTTTTAAAGTGAGATTATTTAGTCCAGGAAAAATTACCCTTTTCCACGGGATATCACCCAATCTTTTCTATGCGCTAGATAATCCAACAGACAAGTACACACCATGAGGGATTAACATTCCCCCGTAACTTATAGTGATATCAGTTGTTAAACTACGTGGTTTGTTTATGTAGAGAATAGGATCAGGATTATCTTTTATATTTAAAGGATTATCAGCTTTCGGCAAATATTTTCAGTGCCATATTTTCGTTTTGGGCTTAGCATCTTAATTTGCTTTTTACACATTGTTTTAGGCCAACATATCTTTTGTAGATAATCAACTTTAAGTATATCTATTCGGTTTTTATTTTGATTTATACTTTTTTGTTATTATTTCATCCTAACGTAAATCGTAAATCTTATCTGAAGCATATCTCCAGCCAAAGCATCAAGCCATAATTTATGTTCTTAAGAAAATGTTCGTGGTACGTTGTAACCGAACAGTACCATACAGCTACACCAGGGAAACACTAAAGAAACGAAGACAGCTATCTAGCCACTAATGGCAGCCATTCTGTAACGTTCTGAACGATTAAAGGGTAGATAACTACGACTCACGGACTGCTTGTATACGCAAGCAAGGGAAGAACAGTTCCTTCCCCTGAGGGACGCTTTGTTTATCAACAAAGGGAAACAGAGCACTTCCGTTAGGTGGCGTTCCCAGGGTTATTTTCTCAACAATCAAACGGCGGTGTGGGAATTCAGTGGTTATAAATGGGTAGATAAAACACGACTTTAAACACTGCCAGAAATAATGGGATACTGGAGTGCTAGGTAGATACTGGAGCTAGGTAGATACTAGGCTAGGTGACGTCTGTGGATACAGGATTAGGTGGATACTGGGCTAGGTGATGTATATGTGGATACAGGATTAGGTGGATACTGGGCTAGGTGACGTCTGGGTGGATACAGGATTAGGTGGATACTGGGCTAGGTGACGTCTGGGTGGATACAGGATTAGGTGGATACTGGGCTAGATGACGTCTGGGTGGATACATCAAGACTAAATTGTGTGTGGAGGGGGGGGGGGAAGGTAGTTTCCTTAGCTGGTCGTGTGGTGCAATGAATATTGCCCAGTACATTCCCCCAAACCATTAACATCGCCACTCTAATATTGTTATATCATAAAGCCTGAACAAAATAATTACGTATTGCTTTTTTATTTTACATTAAAGCGTGAGTCATAGTAAAAAAAAACATTTTTAAAAAAAGTTGTTTTATAAAGCTGCTTCCCTTTCCAACTGTTTAAACAGGAAATGTAAATTTCTAGATAAATAATAAAAAAAAAAGCCTAGTTCGTCACTGTTATGCTACACAATGTAAACATCATCAAACTGTGATTACTTGTTTTTTCTTCTTGTTTAAATCAGCAACTAGCCTAGAGAGCTTCTATACTGTTTTTGTGTGGTGTTTTGTGGAAAAGATTGTGTTTTTGTTTTCACTGATAATACACAAGCTGTTAATAATGGTTTTTTTACACCTCTAAACTTTGTTTTATACACATTATTTAATGAGTTTTGCTGCATCCTAATAATAGAAAAATGGGCTATGTACACTCCTTATTTGGAGTGTGTACACCCCTAAAATGCCCTTGTACACCCCTCATGTGCTAAGTATGCTCTTAATATGGGCTGTATCTACACCCCTGAAATAGACTGTGTACACACATCTGATGATATCTTCTCTTCTCCAGATACTTCTGTGAGATCCTGCTGGACAAGGAACAGTATGCCCTGACCTCTCACAAGTCTATGACAGACATGCTGTTCTGGGGGGAGCATTTTGAGTTCAAGTAAGTTGGCAGTCAGTCCCTGAGTCCACTCAGCTCTGATGGGTACCTTACTCATTTGAGGAAAAGTAAAAGCGGCTGGCCATAGCGCTGACCAAACTTTCCCGTCAATTGCCGAGATCTAGAAACAGGTGAACTCTACCTCACTTGCCCCATAGACCATCAGGTTCGAAATGGGAACTTAAAACACTAAAGTATACCCTAGAGCTGTTGGTAGTCCATTACAAAAAAAAAATCGTTTTCTAATTCACTTTGTGTTTGATTCCTTCATGCATTGATCTCCTTAACAATTTTCTCTGCTCAGGAATTTGCCAACTGTGGAAATTATCACCATCAATCTGTACAGGGAGGCGGACAAGAAGAAGAAAAAAGACAGGGACTTGTTGATAGGTGAGTCAGATACTGACAGGCTGTCTGGTAAGACATGTTGGACTTTCATAGGCGTAAGACATGGGCTATCATTTATCTCATCATCATTCCTTTGTGGCCCCTGGGGAGCAAAGGGCTGCAACCAAACATTTATCATTTATCTACCCCACTAGAATGACATGAGGTACCCAACATTGTGGATGTTTTATTGTCTCTAGTTGGCAAATCAACTCATAAACTTACCATTCAGCCAACCATCAACTACACTGTAATGTTTTTTTTAACAAAGATGACAACAAACTTGCATCCAGATTACTCTAGGGTCCAGTCTCATCTAGCTAACAAGTGACACACTATAAAACAATATGCTTCTTGGTGATCAAATATAAATGTTCTATTTATTAAATGTTTCTTATTAATCTGCAGGTTATATAAATTTAAACCTCAATGAAATGGACAACAGACAGTTGATAGAAAAATGGTATGTTTTGACACATAAAATTACCAAAAATAGTTTAAATTTAATAGATGTTAATAATAAAAGATGAATAGTCTTTATAACTTTTTAGAACAGTGATGCTAGCTTAAAGCTAAAGCAAAATGTGAAACTTCTCTCTTTAGGATAACTTGCAACTCAGGAACGGTGGGGAAGGCAGGCAAAGAGACCAAGAGTGATCTGCCCATTATCAGACTGAAAGCCAGGAGACAAACAGTAGACATTCTGCCTCTAGCAGCGTACCAGTCTTTCACAGAGGTCAGTTTAATCTGCTGGTACTCACAGTCTATCATTGTAGGTGGACACACGTTTATAGATCTCAGATGATTCAAATAAAATCTGGACATAAGTCAAATTTAGGTCAAAATAGTCGGTGCCAAATGCACTTCATTACAAAGCATACTTAAATTTAAAAGCATACTTTTAATTTGCTTTGCATTTTAAGTTTCTAATAGATTGATTAATTCTGTTATGATCATGCAGTGTGTCAGAAGTTTAAGACAAGTCAAAGAAGACATGGAATGGTCATAATTTTTCTATATAAGTTTTAAAATATTTTACCATCTGAGATATTGTAACCATATTTGACTCTTACACCTGATGATGTTTTCCAGTACCATTAGCTGTAGTTGAGACAAGATCTCTAGAGAATAATTTGTCCATGTTTTCTGGTATCATTTAGCTGTAGTTTATACAAGACCACTAGAGAATAACTTATCCATGTTTTCCAGTACCATTAGCTGTAGTTTATACAAGACCACTAGAAAATAACTTATCCATGTTTTCCAGTACCATTAGCTGTAGTTTATACAAGACCACTAGAGAATAACTTATCCATGTTTTCCAGTACCATTAGCTGTAGTTTATACAAGACCACTAGAGAATAACTTATCCATGTTTTCTGGTACCATTTACCTGTAGTTAATACAATATCACTAGAGAATAACTTATCCATGTTTTCTGGTACCATTTACCTGTAGTTTATACAAGACCACTAGAGAATAACTTATCCATGTTTTCTGGTACCATTTAGTTGTAGTTTAGACAAGACCACTAGAGAATAACTTATCCATGTTTTCTGGTACCATTTACCTGTAGTTTAGACAAGAACACTAGAGAATAACTTGTCTATGTTTTCTGGTACCATTTACCTGTAGTTTAGACAAGAACACTAGAGAATAACTTGTCTATGTTTTCTGGTACCATTTACCTGTAGTCTAGACAAGATCACTAGAGAATAACTTGTCCATGTTTTCCCATACCATTACGCTGTAGTTTAGACGAGATCCCTAGAGAATAACTTATCCATGTTTTCTGGTACCATTTAGCTGTAGTCTAGACAAGACCACTAGAGAATAATTTATCCATGTTTTCCAGTACCATTTAGCTGTAGTCTAGACAAGACCACTAGAGAATAATTTATCCATGTTTTCTGGTACCATTTAGCTGTAGTCTAGACAAGACCACTAGAGAATAATTTATCCATGTTTTCTGGTACCATTTAGCTGTAGTCTAGACAAGATCACTAGAGAATAATTTATCCATGTTTTCCAGTACCATTTAGCTGTAGTTTAGACAAGATCTCTAGAGAATAACTTATCCATGTTTTCTGGTACCATTTAGCTGTAGTCTAGACAAGACCACTAGAGAATAATTTATCCATGTTTTCTGGTACCATTTAGCTGTAGTTTAGACAAGATCTCTAGAGAATAACTTATCCATGTTTTCTGGTACCATTTAGCTGTAGTCTAGACAAGATCACTAGAGAATAATTTATCCATGTTTTCCAGTACCATTTAGCTGTAGTTTAGACAAGATCTCTAGAGAATAACTTATCCATGTTTTCTGGTACCATTTAGCTGTAGTCTAGACAAGACCACTAGAGAATAATTTATCCATGTTTTCCAGTACCTTACCACTGACTACAAAGAGCTGTGTCAGCTGTTTGAGCCACTGCTAGCTGTGAGAGAGAAGGAGGAGTTCGCCACCAGTCTAGTCTACATCCTACAGAAACAGAGCAAGGCTTGCGAATTCTTGTCAGACATTGTCATGGAGGAGATCTCTAGACTTGGTAAAAAAATTTCAAAGGTTCTCACAATAAAATGTCAGACATTGGAGGAGATCTCTAGACTTGGTAAAAAAATTTCAAAGGTTCTCACAATATAATGTCAGATATTGGAGGAGATCTCTAGACTTGGTAAATTGTTTTCAAAGGTTCTCACAATATAATGTCAGACATTGTAATGGAGGAGATCTCTAGACTTGGTAAATTATTTTCAAAGGTTCTCACAATATAATGTCAGACATTGGAGGAGATCTCTAGACTTGGTAAATTATTTTCAAAGGTTCTCACAATATAATGTCAAACTGCTAAATTGTGACTGAGAACTCTAGTCCTGCTAATTTATGTGAATGTGTCGCTTTCAAATCAATAGCCAGCTAATACTACTCTGATCGTGGCACAGAGTAAATATTACAGCAATATTTCTGATACAAAATGTCTCTTTGCTATCACTAGTAAATTGAAAATTGTCTTAAGTATATCAGAAGAGTATCAGGATCCCTGGAGAAAAACTTTTCAGTTCATCCAATATACAAACTGATGTGTAGTTTACAAGCAAACAATTGTGTGCAATAATTAGTAAAATAAACAAAACATTCTTGTTTTCACAGATGATGAGCATTTAACATTTAGGGGCAACAGTATAGCCACTAAGTCAATGGAGGCTTATATGAAACTGGTTGGAGAAAAGGTAATGTTTTGCTGTATATTAAAATCTTGCAATCAATACATTCACATGCTTTGTGTATTTTTTTATCACCGATTGCTCTAGAAATAAAATATTTTAGGTGTTTTATATAATATTTCTTGTTTAAGTAACTAATTATGTTGATTTTTTTCTCTAGTATCTAAAAGACACATTGGGCGATTTCATCCGGCAACTCATCAACTCACCGGATGATTGTGAGGTGGACCCCACCAAAGTGGCAACTCCACAGCTTTTGCTTTGCCAGCAAAAAAATCTGGACATGTACTGTACCATGGCCTGGTGTAAAGTCATCAACTCTTTCTGCTATTTTCCAAAGTAAGTTAGACAACTCTATCTTCTAATTCCCCAAGTAAGTTAGACAACTTCTGCTGTTCTTATTTTCTCTATTCCTTATCATCTTTCTTCTATTAATTCTCTTGTACTGAAGTACTGATTTGTTCAAAATAGTAAATTCTGCAGAAAAAAAAAATCTGACTTTTATTATAAATTATATACACTTTTTTGTACATTTTAGAAATTTTAATGAGCTATTGTATGTCTGTTTTAAAGTAGCACCATAAATGCAGTAACAAAATATTCAAATTAAATGTTTAAAGAATGAATAAATTACTTTAGTAAATGAAGGTTTACAACTCAGAGTAAAATTCTACCATGATTAGCTATGAATTCTTAATTAAATTATATGCTTGTTTAAATTTTTATTCTAACATAATTTTGAACAAGCATCTGCATATTTTAATTTTTAAAACAAAAACTTTTTGATTGCTTAGTTAGGGGTCGGCGTGGTCGAGTCGGTAAAGCTCATGGTTGCTAAACCGAAAAGTCTCGAGTTCGAACCCTCGGGCAGATGAGGCTCGTTAGCTGGGGACAGCCACTCTTCTAGGAGAGACAACTCCAAAATTAAACAACTGCTGCCTTGTAGTTTGTTCTTTGTTGGACAAAGGCTATGGAAGCAAATCCAAAAAGAAAAGCAGGCTGAAATTGGAGTCAATGGCCTCAATGGCGCATAACCAGTTGACACGTAACGCTTAATTGTGTTGGAGGTGTGGTCGAGTCTGCAAAAAGCTCATGGTTGATACATTCGAACAGTCTCGAGTTCAAACCCACTGGCAGATAAATCTCAATCCCCTTCAACACTAATAATTAAGAACGAAGAAGAAGAGAAAAAGAAGATTGCTTAGTTGTCAGGTTTGTAAGGTGAGATTTTAATTTTGTCGCAGTGAGATGAGAGAAGTGTTTGCCAGCTTGCGTAATCGCTGCAGTGACAGGGGCAAGGTGGACTACAGTGACAACCTAATCAGCGGCTGCATATTTCTGCGCTTCCTGTGTCCAGCTATACTCTCACCTAGTCTGTTTAATCTCACACAAGGTAAGTCCTACTCACACCTAACCTATTTATTCTTGGGTAAATAATTTATGTTTATTTTTTAATCGATAGCATTACCTGCTTTATACAATTTTATTCTTATGGATTTATCAGACCACTATAAAAGTTGATTTATCTAACCACACTATCAAAAGTTGATTTATCTAACCACACTATCAAAAGTTGATTTATCTAACCACACTATCAAAAGTTGATTTATCTAACCACTCTATCAAAAATTGATTTATCTAACCACACTATTAAAATTTGATTTATCTAACCACACTATTAAAATTTGATTTATCTAACTACTCTATCAAAATTTGATTTATCTAACCACTCTATCAAAAGTTGATTTATCTGACCACACTATCAAAAGTTGATTTATCCAACCACTCTATCAAAAGTTGATTTATCTGACCACGCTATAAAAAGTTGATGTAACTGACCACAGTATTAAAATTTGATTTGTCTGACCACACTATCAAAAGTTGATTTATCTGACCACTCTATCAAAATTTGATTTCTCTGACCACTCTATCACAGAATATCCCAATGAAAGGGCCTCAAGAAACCTGACACTGATAGCCAAAACCATCCAGACCCTAGCCAACTTCACACAGTGAGTCCTTCATCTTTTGATTTCATCATTTTTGTCTTCAGAAATTGTTAACATTTTAAAATAATTTTATAAGTTGTAGAAGAATTTTAAAAATATTCTGCATTCATTTATAAATACTGGAAGAATTTTTTTTTTTATTCTGCATTAAACAGTCATTTTTTTTTTTTTATTTTATTTTATTTTTTTTTTTTTTTTTTTTTTTTTTTTTTGTTGCTTTAAATAATTTGTAGATAGTGGCAGAAATTTGTCAAAAATTTACTGCATTTAACTGTAAACTGTATTAGAAATATTTTTATGATAATTTATAAAATGTTAAAGAACTATTTTTGTTTGTCCAGGTTTGGGGGCAAGGAAGAGTTCATGCTTTTCATGAACGCCTTTGTTGAGAAGGAGGAGGCCAACATGAAGGCATTTTTACACAAGATCTCTGTAAGTCGCAGTTTGCTTCAGTTTACATTAGCCACTGTAGGAGCTAGCATTTATCTGTTTTGGTTCTTTGCTAGTCCCAGTGTTTTATTAGTCAAATGACATTTATCAGTTTTGGTTCTTTGCTAGTCCCAGTGTTTTATTAGTCAAATGACATTTATCAGTCTTGGTTCTTTGCTAGTCCAGTGTTTTATTAGTCAAATGACATTTATCAGTCTTGGTTCTTTGCTAGTCCAGTGTTTTATTAGTCAAATGGGTACCAGCCTCATATATGTTTACATGATTACCAATTAGTCAGATACTTATTGACAATTATCAGATATTTTTTTAAATTACTTTTATTTTCAATTAAAACAATTAACATCAAACGTATGTGAATGTGATTGTTTGTGGTAAAATATATACATAGTAAGTAGTAAAGTAAAGTTCCCTTTCAAACCTGACGGTCTATGGGGCAAGTGATGTAGAGCTCACTTGTTTATGGGACCCTAGCATATGAAGGGATAATGTCCAGAGGCCTTTACTTTCCCTAACATGAGTTAGGTACCCATTAGAATTGGGTGGACTCAGGGAAGGTCTTTTGACTTGAACCTGGATTCAAACTTGAGACTTAAGAGGTTTCCAGAAACTTAAAAGATTTACAGGTTAGCAGCCCAGCTAAAACTGATTGTTTAGTTTCTTCAGCAACTGATCTTGACAGAATTTTAAATTTACATTTTTAATGTTTGGTTGGATGAAACGTGTGTCTTGTGTTCCTTGTTATTTACTCACTGATTCTCTAATGTACAGAGTAAGGAACCAGGGAACCAGTTCCTCCAGTTTGATGGCTACATTGACCTCGGCAAGGAGTTGTCTGTCCTGCACTGTTTACTGCTGGAGTGTATGGAGAAATATTCTGAGGTTTGCCTCCCCTGCTTGTTAGTTTCCTCATACTTGTCTCCCCTACTAATGAGGGCAGAGCTTTCAAAACCAATTCAGTGTTAACTTTTCATTTGCTTAAAAAAAAAAAAAAAATTTTTTTAGAATGTTATGTAACAGTCTGGTAATTTATGTTGTAATAAAATAAAATAATTTATTATTGTTTCAGACATCAGGGAAACAGTTTGAACCGTTGAGTAAAATCCTTAACACACTATCCAACGCTTTTGACGACCCCACTCTGGGACAGAAGAAACCCAACAGGAAGTCACAAATCTACGACAACCTTGTCCACATTCCCAGCCCAGGGAAGGATTCTCCGCAGAACAAGGTGGCGCCGCACACTAAACCAAAGCCTAAGAACATGACGGTCTCGTCCCCCACAGAAGCGCTGAAGGACATGCTTCGTATTTGTGGCGAGTCTGTCGAGGACCTCCCAGCACTGGCCAACAGGGGGAACAAATCTGATGCAGGGGAGGTAACTACCCATACAAATATTACCTCGTCTACGCATACCATGGTTTCGAGTGTGAAGGGAACTCATCAGGTTTTTAACAAGCAGTCGATCAATGAGACCTGGACGCAAATGGTTAACGCAGCCGATAGAGTAAAAGGGGATTTTGTTGACTTAGTTCCTATCCCGTTTATGGATGAGGATATGCAGTGTTCATCACTAGACATGGAATCTAATACAGTAGCCAGTCAGGTAATATCAGTAGACCCACACGTTAACACAAGTCAGGTATATTTAGTAGATCCACACAACACAAATCAGGTATATTAAGTAGACCCACACGTTAACACAAGTCAGGTATATTAAGTAGACCCACACTTAACACAAGTCAGGTAATATCAGTAGACCCACACTTAACACAAGTCAGGTAATATCAGTAGACCCACACGTTAACACAAGTCAGGTATATTAAGTAGATCCACACGTTAACACAAGTCAGGTATATTAATTAAGTAGATCCACACCTCACACCAGTCAGGTAATATCAGTAGACCCACACCTCACACCAGTAGACCAATACTTCACTGGCTTAACTTACAAAAATATAAGTCTGCTGCACATCTTAGTTATTGATAAACTGAAATATTTTGGACTTGAGCATCTTAAAGCATTTTATTCACTTGAAAACTATCAAAGCATGTCTGAAAATTTATAAAGTAATTGATGAAGAAAGAAACAATTTCTTTTAAAAAAAAATTTAAGTCTTATGCTAACAGTTCTTAAACCTTTAACAATTTTAAAACTTAACACCTGTATGAGAAGTTACAAAAGTTGTTTCAAATTTGAATTTGCCAAGTATACATCCACCTGGTACAAAGACATTAGCTTCAATGCTTATGAGGACTTGGAAATTTAGCTTGGTATCATTGAAATTAGTCTATAAAAGGAGGTGAATCCGACTAATTAGACAGAATAATTAAACAGATTGTGTTCCATCCTGTTGATGAACTCTGCATAAGTTACCTGTAGATGTGTCCAGTGGGTTGATGGGCAGCAATGGGTGGGGGGGTGTTTATTTTTTAGACCTGACACACACCATTGAGATGGCATGTTGCCTGTAGATAGTTTGCATGCTATATCACCATATGTAACTAGTGTTCTGTGTCACTTATTCACTGGTATCAGCTGATGCTAAAAGTTATCACTATGTCGTCATTAATATCATCACTATATGATGATTATAATACTCTTTATTAAATGATCACCGTAATCTCTATATGGTGATCAGAATCATCACTCTATGACGATTCGAATATTCTTTATTTGATGATCAGAATCATCAATTTATGGTGATTAGAATATTCTCTATTTGATGATCCATATAAGGACTACATGATTAGTCAAATACTCTTTATTTGATAATCAACATTATCGCTATATGATTTAAAATACCCTCCAATTTGATGATCAACTTAATCACTATATTATCATGATTAATGTTTTCCATTTTTGAACCTCCGAGTACAGCAATTATAACTCCTTCTAATCAACAGTAACTTTGTTTGATCTAGTTATACTGACAGTTTGCTGTTGTCCCATGTTAATAAGTTGGGGACCATACCACAGTGCTTTAATCAATCTGCTTCACTAACCCTAGGCCTATGTGGGGGTTTTTAATTAATTAATTACACAATCCACAAATTTAAAATGTTACTGAAGTAAAAAGAAAATTTTAAATGAAAGTTAACCTTTTTTGGAGTAATTATTTTTTTACCCTATTTTTTGAAAATTCTAATTGCGTTTATTGTTTGTTTTTTTTTTTGGAAAAAAAAACAGGTCAAATCAATTTTATTTTTATTTTTTTAAGATGTCAAAATTACTTCTATTTTATCCGCTAGAAATATTTTGTATTTCTTAAACTTCAACGCAACTTAACTTTAAGCATCTAGCCAGTTGTAGTAAAAAAAAAACTTATGGCTATTCCTGGTATCTTACTTACTCCCTATTAACCATTAGTAAAAACAAGTTCTGGCTATTCCTGGTATGTTACCTACTCCCCCCTAAATCTTGTGGATATTCCTGGTATTTTACCTCCTCCCCCCTAAAACTTGCGGCTATTCCAGGTATGTTTTCTACTCCCCACCATCCACAGGTGTCCAGCCAAGTGTCAACTCTAGACTCGTCTGGCTACCACTCCCTGGGGCGTAGCCAATCGCAGTCTGACTCCCCAGTTGACTCTGGGGGTCAAGGTCAGGTCATTGAGTTGACCCGGGAGGTCACGCGCTCCCCGATCATTTACTACCCAGCAGCTGTGAGTTGTGCATTATTCACCCTCGTGTTGTCATGGTAACCCGCTCTGTGCTTGTTGTTGTTGCCTCCATTGACCAGGGTTTTGTCCTACAAGTTCATGTTGTATCAGTTTGTTTTTTAACTTTATAGATCTAGTCTAGTCACCAACCATCAAGAACAAAAGGTCCCAGAGCTTCCAAATGAAGATTTCTTTTTCTTCAACATCTTTATTATGCTAACTGCACATCAAGAAACATTTATGGAAAAAAAAATGTCACTTTGCTAGAAATTTATTGACCAACATTCAGACTTATCTGTTAAACTAACATGTAGTTTACTAAAGCATCCATATAAACCTATATGATAGATTTCAAGCTCCACCAAAATCTGCTGCACCTGTTTCTGCCATATAACCTTGCATGATGCTACTAACATGTACTCAAGTGTTTCAATTGTGCATTCATACCTCACTATATAACACTAATAATCACTCACGTTTGAATCACTTCATTAGTTATTTTTTATTATTGTTTATGTTGTGTTTGTCTAGTTATAATATTATGTTTATCTTCATCATAGTTTTTTTTTAGTAAACTGCTATGTGTTTGTTTTGTGATTTAGTAGATATATATATTTTTGTTGTATTCTATTAAAAGTTTAAAATATCTTTTTGTAAAGTTGTTCTCTCTGTACTTCAGACCCAGGTTCAAGCCCCACAGCCTCTGGCGTTTGCAAACCCACTCTTCCGCCATCAGCAACAACCGCCTCGGCCAGCCCCCTTCAAACGCAACGGCAACGGAGTTGAAACCCACCGTGGTATGACTCTGAGTCAGGCCCACACCGTTCTCCGTAAATCCAGTGACTCCTCTCTAGACAGCAGCGATGACTCCTCGTCTAAACCCCAGCTTGCTTTTGTCAAGACGTCTGCGGTTGAATCTTCGGACTACCACGCAACGATAGCGCCGTTAAAAAACCTCTCACAGCTGTCAAGTTCCAGCAGTGATGACAGCCTTGACGGGCCGACTAGCTTGAACGTCGCCATGAACAGCTCCCATTCCTCAGCTTTTGTTCACTCAACCTCGGCCAACTTTATTTCATCCAAGACTTCTTCCAAAACCTCCTCGTCTGTGATGTTGTCGTTAGGTAACAGTGCCATGAACGGGTGCAGCACCTTTCCCCGGCGCCATAACCGTCAGCAGGAGCAAACAAACACAGCCACTGATGTTAGTCCGCCGCTACCCCCGCGGGATGCGTTGGTCACTGCGGATTCGGGATCCCCCGGATTAAAAGGATCCATCTACCACAGACAGCTGTCCAACCCCGCCCACAGCCCTGCCAGTGTTCAAAACCCTCGGCCCACGAGGACATTTCAAAACAGGGCCGGGCTGACCACCACCCCAACTGGACATGTACAGCAGAGGAATTTCCCTGGGAAAAATTCTGTGTTTCAGAGTAATGTGGATAGCAACACTCAGAGACAAGCCCAGAAAGTAAGTAACCCAGGGCCTAAAGGATTTAGTTCATCAAACAATAGCCCTGCTAGTCAGCACAAGCTGGATAGTCTGACCGCTAGCCCGGGGTTGTACAGGAGCAACCCCCTTGCTAACAGCTCCAATATCAACTCTCCTTCTCTGAACTCCCGCCCACAGAACATCACCCACAGGCCGCCCGTGTCCTCTGGGGGTGGGTGGCAGGTGGCCCAGCATGTGGAGAGGTCAAGCTCCTCCCACGAGTCGAGCAGCAGCAGCGACTCGTCCCCACAGAGCCTGGTCAGGTCGACCCAGCACAACATGCACGAGTCCAGCAGTGCTCACAGCATCAGCTCCGCCCCCTCGTCCTCCCAGCCCTGGGGGTACACCCCCTCCCACAGTGATTCTAACAGTTCAATCAGCAGTCTGACCAAAATCAACCCCCGCGCCCCGGTGCGGAGTGACTCCAGCGGGTCTCTGGGTGGACTTAACATTTCTAGAATCTCACAAACCCCGAGTGACTCAAACAGTTCCATGAGCAGCGGCAACAACAACACCAGTGGCTTGACCGGTTCAAATCCTTCCAGCACCAACCAGCTGGACAACCATTACTTCAACCACGTCAACCCTTTCAGTGCCAGGCTCTCGAGTGTCAGCGACAGCCAGATCCACACCAGCTCGCTGCAGTCCAACCCCCTGCCTCAGCCACCAGCCTTTCTCACATCCAAATACTCCGTGGTCCACCCCCAGCCCACCAGCCCACGGACGGAGCGGTCAGCGTCCTACCACTCGACTACAGACTCAGCCAGCTCTGGTTCCAGCTCTCGCTCAGCCTGCATAGCCTCACGTAGCATGGATCTCGGATTTATCGGCAAAAACCGAGGCGAGCCTCTCAAACGAGCCTCAACAGATTCAACCCTGAGCCAACCTGCTGGAAGCTTGTCCCCAACTGGGCCGGGGCCATCTCGGCCACTGTCCAGGGATGAGAGCATGCAGTCCACGTCATCGTCAAACAACGCAGCCAATCGCAGGCTCTCACCCCAGTCCACAGTACACATGGGGATCAGCTCAGTGCAGAGGAAACTTCAGGAGCAAGAGAGAACTAAACTTGAGGTAATCATCTTTTCTGTCCTTTGTAGCAGTGTTTTAACTGGGATAATCTGTTTTTATTCAAATTTAGACTCTTAAAATTAAGTATCTATCACCTTCAATTTTTAGTTCTGCTTAAAAAAAAATATTTGACATGTTATAAAAAAGCATCAGTCCATTATTGATTGTCTTACTACTATGTAAAGACTTTAAGATTAAATAATATTTTGGATATACACTGGCAATAGCATGTCAAAAAATTAAAGTTTTGTAGTTACAATTCTTGTTACACAGTGTATAACAGTCAACAACTTGAATTGATAGCTAGAATTCTTGTATAACACTTAGTCAACAAGTTGAAACTTTGTAGCTAGAACTCTTGTTATCTCTACTCTTGTTATCTCTACTCTTGTTATCTCTACTCTTGTTATCTCAACTCTTGTTACCTCCACCAGTACGAGCAGGAGGTCCATGTCCTACGTCAGCAGTTGCTAGAAGCCCAGGAGAAGCTGCAGCAGGCGGAGATGAAGCTGCTGGACCACGAGGTAGACACACACAAGCTCCTGGACGAGTGGCAGTACAGACTGGTGGAATCGGAGGAGAAGATGCGGAGACAGCAGGCGGAGAAGGACGAGCAGATGAAGGCTATCATGACCAAGTCAGTTTTTGCTTCACATCACAGCTGCGGGTTTATTTATTTTGTTAGGATATCATTATACTTATTCCTAAAGTAAAGTAGCTACACATCACAGCTGCTGGTTTATTTATTTTGTTAGGACACCATTATACTTATTCCTAAAGCAAAGTAGCTACACATCATAGCTGCTGGTTTATTTATTTTGTTAGGACACCATTATACTTATTCCTAAAGTAAAGTAGCTACACATCACAGCTGCTGGTTTATTTATTTTGTTAGGACACCATTATAATTATTCTTAAAGTAAAGTAGCTACACATCACAGCTGCTGGTTTATTTATTTTGTTAGAATATCATTATACTATTTCCTAAAGTAAAGTAACTACACATCATAGCTGCTGGTTTATTTATTTTGTTAGAATATCATTATACTTATTCCTAAAGTAAAGTAGCTACACATCACAGCTGCTGGTTTATTTATTTTGTTAGAATATCATTATACTTATTCCTAAAGTAAAGTAGCTTCACATCATAGCTGCTGGTTTATTTATTTTGTTAGAATATCATGATAATTATTCCTAAAGTAAAGTAGCTACACATCATAGCTGCTGGTTTATTTATTTTGTTAGAATATCATTATACTAATTCCTAAATTAATCACAATTTTAGGGATGGTGTGGTTGAATGGTAGAGCATTTGACTGCTAACCTGGTAGTCTTGAGTTCTGATCCTGGGCTCAAGTCAGTAGGACATTACTGAGTACACCAAGCTCTAATGGGTACCTGACTCACATTAGGGAAACAAAGGGAGCCTGGGCATAGTGCCGACCACATTATTTCCTTTTATGCCGAGGTCACTGAATCAGGCACACTCTACTTTATCTGCTCTATGTGTCTTGGGTGCGAAGGGCTAGGATGATGAGATAAAATAGTGCTCTCTAACCATATTCCTGTGTGGGCTAGAAGTTTGATACAACCCTAGAAAAAAGATTAAAGATCCTTGCCAAAAATAATAAACAGCAGCTTTTTTTGCTAATGCTACACTTGCAAAATGATGTTTATATTTTTACAAGCACAAAATGTAATTTATTATAAATTAATTTGATTAACCTTTGACCTGTTGTGTGTATTCCAGGCTACACACCATTGAAGAAGAGCTGAAGAGAGAACAGGCCGAGATGGCCAGCGCGGTAGAGCACAAGCAACAGGTCATCGAGGTCCAGGAACAGAGGATCCGCAAGCTGGACGAGGCCAACAACAAACTCCATCAGGCGCTGGCCGACCTAAAGGCTCGGGCCGCTAGAGCCGCAGATAACCAGGACGAGAACAGTAACTCCGCACTGGACAACAGCTGTAATGGGGTGGACATTATAACAACTGAGATAGCTGGCTTCAAGACCAGCTCGTGCTAGCTACGATAGGTGGTTTTTTCAGGGTTCAGTGCTAGCTATGATGGGTGGTATTTTCAGGGTTCTATGCTAGTACTATGATAAGTGGTATTTTCAGGATTCAGTGCTATCTCTATAAGTGGGATTGTCATGGTTTAGTGCTAGCACTATGATAAGTGGTATTGTTTGGGTTCAAGACCAGTGGTATTAAGGGATGTTGTTAGGGTTTTTTATATTTAATTAAATAAAACAGGGTGGTCTAACAATGATGGGTTGCCATTTTTAAGGTTGGTGTAATAATAGTGGGTTGTCATTTTAGGGTTATTGTATTGATAGTGCTACAGCAGTTCATCTGATAAAACACATTTTATTACAATCATTATATTTCATAAACTATCCAAATATTGAATAGGGCATTTATTCCTTTACTAGACAACAGCACCAATTCACACTATTTAACTGACTGACCAGAGTCTAAGTCTAGTGGTCAAACTTTCACCCTGTACATATACTGACCTGTACAGCAAGCTACACTCATCAGCTTTAAAAAAAAACAATGATTGTGCACAAAAATTCTGTTTGTTTTAATATTTGTTTTAATTTATTATGTCACTCATTATTGTGGGTTTAATGATCATACATTATTCGCCCATTTTTCTTTCAAACTATTTAAACTGTATGATCAATACTTGCCATAAAATGTACTTAATGTTTTTTTTTATTGTGTATAATGTGTTCATCTTCAAATTTTGTAGATGTGTGAATTTTAATGAATACTGGACTTGTACCATAAAATGTGTATAGAAATGACAAGAAAACCAACACTATTTGCTTATAGTCTTAACCTACCTGTAGCCTGTCTGTTTTTATATTAATTTTCTTTAATCAAGTGTTGAAATTACCTTCTATAGCAGAAGTAAGGCTTGACCAAAATTGTATTAATTATGTAAATTACCTCTAGACAATCAACACATTTTGTGGTTTTGATGTAAACACAATTTTTATACCAAACTTTTTGTTTTGTTTTAATGCTCACAGCAAGGGTAACTAGGGGAAAGTTTTGTTAACAAAATTATACCAATTAATTCACATGGATTGTTTATCAGAATAAAATTGTTCATAGTTGTGGATGTGTTTAATTTGTAAGGTACACTCATGGCTTAATAAGTGTTTGTAATAACAGCTTACATTGGTTGATTACACTTTATGATGTCATGGATGATCTATTTATAGCCATGTATAGTTTCCTGCTGTGACATCCTGTTAATCTAGGTCATGGTCAAGTTACTTTCATTTTGTTACTAAACTCCTCATAAGGCATTTGGCATAATAGCTTAACAAGATATTTTAACTTTGTATTAGTTATTTATTTTTTCATCAGCTAGTGACTTCTTAAGCTTTAAAATATTTTTTTACTTTTTTTTTGTTGTCATTTTGTTTGATTTTGAAAAAAGTTTAAATTTATTTGAACTTTTGGTTCTAAAAATCAACCAATAAATGAGTGTTTACTTCTGTTAAAACATCTCTCATTGGTTGTAAATTAACCAATGAATGAGCTTGTTTTCCGCTTGTCAAGTATTTTGGCTGTGGTGCATTGTACAAAAAAATCTAATCCACTGATTTGTACATTTCTGTTGATGTAAGTCCTTGGTCTGAGTGTGTAGGCCTTAAGGACCTATTGTTTAGCATGTATGGGACCTAGTTCTATGAGACCTATTGTTTAGCATGTATGTTGGCTAGGTCTATGAGACCTATTGTTTAGCATGTATGTTGGCTTGGTCTATGGGACCGACTGTTTCTTGTATGTTTGTGTATAAAGATTAGTTTAACCGGGCAAGTCCAGTGTCCTATGAATCAAAATGTGCAATACTGCTTCACCTGTGAATACTACTGTACCTTGGCATGTCTCTGTTTATCTCTAGAATCTCACCATTCTGTTTCCCATTAACCATGTCCTGTTTCCTCTAAGTATTTTGCTGTACATACATGGGAGTGTTGTTACAATTTTCTTGATATATATATACTAGCTTGTGTTCACTGAGAAAGTTCAAAAATAATTTTTCTTCAAATTATTTCACAATTATGGAACTAATTATTAAAAGAAAGTTGTTTTTTTTTTTTAATCTGTTTAGCAATATGTCATTAAAAAATATTTTGTCTTTAGGGTATTTGCTTTGGACAGCATATTTCGTCTGTATATGTTAGCAAGAGGTCCTACACTAGCTATATATGTCTGTTGTTGATGTTTGTGTAAATAAATGCATCTCTCACCAATTGCTGTCATGATCTTGTCCAGTGTCTTGCTATATCTATACTTAATTAATCAATTAATTAATTATCCACACTTGGGTATAATCAGCTTCACAACAATATTTGACTTTAGGCTTGTAGAAGATAGTGAAGGTAATTTATTGATGGCTTTTCTCAGCTGGTTTCTTATTGTATGGTCTTTTATGTCCAGTCCTGGTGGCCATATGTCCAGTCCTGGTGGCCATATGTCCTGTCTTAGTGGACATATGTCCAGTCCTGGTGGTCATATGTCCAGTCTTGGTGGTCATATGTCCTGTCTTGGTGGCCATATGTCCAGTCCTGGTGGCCATATGTCCAGTCTTGGTGGTCATATGTCCTGTCTTGGTGGCCATATGTCCAGTCCTGGTGGTCATATGTCCAGTCTTGGTGGTCATATGTCCTGTCTTGGTGGCCATATGTCCAGTCCTGGTGGTCATATGTCCTGTCTTGGTGGTCATATGTCCAGTCCTGGTGGTCATATGTCCAGTCCTGGTGGTCATATGTCCTGTCCTAGTGGTCATATCTCCAGTCCTAGTGGTCATATGTCCAGTCTTGGAGGTCATATGTCCTGTCCTAGTGGTCATATGTCCTGTCTTGGAGGTCATATGTCCTGTCAGGGTGGCCATATGTCCTTCACCACATGTCATTCATCATGCCAGGTTAGTTACCTTTAAGCCTAGGGCCTAGTCTTATCATATGTTACATTTTGTTACATGAATATACTACATACTGTAAGCATCTATTTTTTAACTTGATGTGATAGAATACGTGCAGTAAATATGACTCGTGTTTCAAGACCTTGTATAAAAGACATGATTATGGGGAAGTTACTGTATGTATAAAGTAGATGTTGCGGAGTATGATGTTGTAGGGTCTAGGTAACACTAGCTATAGGTTCTTAACCAGATTTGGTGACACGGCTCAGTATTGAAAGTGTGGTCAGACCCTTACAACACTAACAATGTTGTTTTGAAAAAAAAAGCTTGATTAATTATCTTTGGTAGATGATCATATTAGAGAAAGGTTATTAAAACAGAATGTCTTTTAACAATGGTATCCTTGATGAAATTCTCATTAAATTTGTCTTGATTTTGTGCCAGTTCTTTTAGTGGATATTTGCTGGGGTACATTGTGGGATAAGGCATTAGCAACATTATGTAACAAAGGTGGGAATAGTGTGGGATAAGGCATTAGCAGCATTATGTAACAAAGGTTTCTGAGTTGTAGCTGAATTATGTGTACAGTATTTTAGTGAGAGTCACCTGCTTATACTTGAAAAAAAATATGTTGTATATTTTTCAATCCTTGTCAGAACCCCAACATTAGGTTTATTTTGCATTAATATTAATCCTTGTCAGATGTTAGGACCTTTGCATTACATGTATGATATGGTAAGCCCTACATATAATTTTGACAGGACTTTTGTATTGTTATTTTAGAAACCTTGTCAGGACCTCAGAATTTATATGTAAATTTAACCTAGTTAGGACCTCAATATGGGCTTTAGCTTTGTGTGGTTGGATTGTATTTCACTTAAACATAATTTGTTATTAAAATGTTATTGGAATACGACTTTCATAAATTGAATATTACTTGTCACCATCTAGCTTAATTAAAATGGTTAACAGGATGAAACATGGCGTGTTAATTAAGGTAATTAGTGGAACATTGCATATCACTGGCCAGTTTGGCCGTTGGTAAACCACATATGTTGTACAGTGGAAGCTTGTGTGTGCGTGCGTCTGTCTGCTTGTCTGAAAGTAGAAAAGTTTATTAAAAAAAATTCAAAGGTTTATCCCACTTTGTTTTCTATTGTGTTTGTATTTATGTTCAAGGGGGAAATTAAGCATGTTATGTATAGGCCTACTTTCCTGACTATGGTGTTATGCCTACGTGATGTGTGTTGACTTATATCATGGTATCATATATACCTATTCATCTATAGTATATTAATCAGACTCCAGTTCATTGGACGTCTTTGAGGCTACCTAACTCTGCTAGTCTCTTCATATATATTTATATACATGTTTACATATATATATATATATATATATATATATATATATATATATATATATATATATATATATATCCAAACTAATCGTAGATTATTACACATTCATTAAAATGCAACCGTGGGTAAAGTGCGCAAGAAATCTCGCCGGTTGAAGTTGATTAAAATTTTAAATTGTGACCACACACCCACTCACAAAACGACTTTTTGGTACACATTTTTACAACTTTGTGGACACTATAAATAGAAGACCAAAAAGCCAACCAAAGTGTCTTATGGTTAAGAAAAGGACACTTTCAGAGTCACTGGGGTTTTTTTTAGTCATTTAAAAATCTCCGAGAGCCACAAAACCATGCAAGGAGCCGTGCACACAGTGTGAAAAAGGAGAGTGGGTTCAATGGCTAATTTTTTTATATGTATCGGCAATAGACAACTAGAGTATATGAGATGCAAGTCGCTATAGCAGAACAACTCACCGACAGAAAGCTAGTGGGCAGGGGCGGAACTACAGTGCCGCCAGACCCCGCAATGCGGGTGGGCCCACGCCGTTTAGGGGGCCCACGCCGTTTAGGGGGCCCACAGCCGCCCATAAAATATTTTTTTATAGTTAAAATGTAATTGAATTTTCTTGCATTTCTGACCTGATGGTTGTTTTGAAAAAAAGAATACCGTAGCTGTGGTTGGAGTATCTTTATTCTATAGACACCATCCCACTCTCTTGTATATTCTTTTTCCTACAAACACACGCTGTTGTCGGCAAAATTCTTTTGAAAAAACATCAATTGCGCGAGAGGCCGCTAGATATTAAGACGGCATTTTGAGACCATCGCAAATTTGGTACAAGTGTTTCTTCCAGAGTTTTTGCTCCGGGGGGGGGGGGGGGGCACTTGAAATTTTCGGGGGGGGGGGGGGGATCGGTAGACTTTCTTCGGGGGGGGGCGGACACTGTTAAAAGTATATATTTTCTACATAAATTATATACATTTCAGAGATGCCTGGAAGAAACTCTGTTTGGTACTGATGGATAAAACCACATCGGTGCTTTGTTGTCCCTTTTAAGTTCCTTTCTCAGACCTCCCCTCCCGCTCTTACCGCCTCATCAACTAAGCTGGCTCGTATCGGTGGTAGTGTAGACAAACTAACGCTCCAACAACAACGCTGGCTCGAATCGGTGGTAGTTTTGATAAACTAGCGCTCCAACAACTAATATCCAAGAAATAAAGTGCCGACATTGTTTACGTTTAATAACCACTGTTCTAAAATACAAAGGCAAACGTCTCAAATAAATACACAAATGATAGCGTGTTATATATATATATATATATATATATATATATATATATATATATATATATATATATATATATATATATATAAATTAGTTGCGTCACTGGCACCTTGATAGTGGTTTTGTAAATAACAAACAGATAACAGATCTAATACAGTAGTGATGTTATATAGTAGCTAAAATATGCTGTTCCGTAAAAAAATAAATAAATAAACACATTAGCAGTAGTGTGAAAGATAGGCAAACGTTCAAACCACTTCCATAAATTATTTCCCTTTTTCAAATAGTCAAATAGGGGTGCCCAAAAGCTCCTTTTAATAGATTTCTAATAATCAAATTAAACAGCAATTACTTATCTTAATTATTCTTTTAAAAAATAAGTACTAAAGAATGGTATAGTATAAAAATGAAACGTAGTTAAAGTTAATAATATAAATACAAAAAAACATAAAAATAAACACCATTACTTATACAAAGCTTCATATACTTTTGACCGAGTTAATGATTAGAAGTATTTACCGTTAATGAAAACAGAGATTTTCAAAACAGACCAATGCACTCATACACATGACATGTTGTTGTGATTAGATTTAATTGAATTTTTTTTTTCAAAACCCGATCAGGCCAGAAAGGAGTATCCTATGTTCGTATTGTGTTTGTATATAAACATATATATATATATATATATATATATATATATATATATATATATATATATATATATATATATATATATATATATACATATATGGGGGGGGGGGGCCCAAAAATTTTTATTGCGGGGTGGCCCATTTTTTTTAGTTCCGCCACTGCTAGTGGGATGCATTTTCCCACGTTTTCTTTAACTTGCTTTCTCTGTTTGTTTATTTGTCTTTCCAATCAAATCTTGCGATCGAAATTTCTGGCACTTCCCAGTTAGCTAGCGCGCTGAAATTTTCAGGGAAGCTTTCTTTTGGATGACCATAGAATATGCAATTGTTATTCCCACGTTTTCTTTAACTTGCTTTCGTCTCTGTTTGTTTGTCTTTCCAATCAAATCTTGCGATCGAAATTTCTGGCACTTCCCAGTTAGCTAGCGCGCTGAAATTTTCAGGGAAGCTTTGTTTTGGATGACATTAGAATATTCAATTGTTATTATTACTAAATTGATCAATGGAAACATTTTATTGAGCATTTTAGACCGCTATATAATCTATATATATAATTCTCCTCTGCGAACCATTAGAAAACAAGCTGCAAGCGCCTCCTTACAGTCCCCTCCCCCACATGGTCTGCTGAGCTGTGGTCACGTTAATGTTTACAAACCGTACAGCCAGGTTTAGTGACGGCTATTAGGGGCAGATAATTTAGTTTGAACCGACTTTAAACTTACAGGAGGTAACTAAGAGGAGGCTGCTTTCACGGGGGGGGGGGGGGGGGTGTAGGGTCGGGGTTAGGGGAAAAGGAGGGGGGTGGCAGCATTGGTACTGTCGAATTCACAAATTATGAATTACTGAAAAGTAGAAAATAAATCAACTAAATAGCGGCGTATGATACGCCGCGGGTCGGCTCGTTGTAGTAAAAACGTGGGGAAAAAGGGACATAACCCAGTAACTGTAATTTGTGTACAAACAACCGTAACAACTGGTGGCCAGTATGGGGGAGACGATATGGTCGAGTGGTTGGGCACACGATTGCTATCCCACTCGACACGGGTTCAAATCTATGGGTTCTAGTCAGTAACGTATTCACACAACGTGTTTTTTACGAGTTGTCTTTTTACGAGTTGTCTTTTTACGAGTTGTCTTCGTTTACCCAAAAAAAAAAGTGAAAAGATAAAATCGATAGCAAGATTTTAATGCAAACAAACAGACAAAGACTAAAAAGTAGAAAATAATAATCATTAAAAAAGTTTAAAAAAACCCACGTGGGCCGCCGTGATTTTCTTACAGTTTCTAATACTGTTGACTCTCTACAAGCTCCCTAATAAAAGTCAATAGTATTATCTAATCAATAGTAATATAACTTTTACTTCGGCGCCCCACGTTTTCATCGCTTATAGTAGAGTGATCGCTTGCATTATTGTGATGTATAGCATTTATTTTCTACTTTTTAGTTCAATCAGAAAACGTGGGTTTTTTAAAACTTTTTTAATGATTATTATTAAAATTATCAAGTCACGTGATGATCATTTACACTTATCAAGGCACTGCTTACGGCTGCTCAGTTGAAACACGGAAATGTCGTCAAACCAGTTTTGTTTGTTTTGCTCTACTGATGTGGGTTAGGCCTACAGCACTGGTGAGCATCGTCGCTATTTCACTTTAACAACTGATCTATGTGGACTAAAGTGATCAATGTTTTTATTTCACTGCAGCGAAATATATCTTTAAATTTTGTGGACTTGAAATCTTTCTTCTTCTTCTTCTTCGTTCTTAATTATTAGTGTTGAAGGGGATCGAGATTTATCTGCCAGTGGGTTTGAACTCGAAACTTTGTTCGAATGTATCAACCATGAGCTTTTTGCCGACTCGACCACACCTCCAACACAATTAAGCGTTACGTGTCAACTGGTTATGCGCCATTGAGGCCATTGACTCCAATTTCAGCCTGCTTTTCTTTTTGGATTTGCTTCCATAGCCTTTGTCCAACCAAGAACAAACTACAAGGCAGCAGTTGTTTAATTTTGGAGTTGTCTCTCCTAGAAGAGTGGCTGTCCCCAGCTAACGAGCCTCATCTGCCCGAGGGTTCGAACTCGAGACTTTTCGGTTTAGCAACCATGAGCTTTACCGACTCGACCACGCCGACCCCTAACTAAGCAATCAAAAAGTTTTTGTTTTAAAAATTAAAATATGCAGATGCTTGAAATCTAGTTTTAGGATCCTGTTCGTAGTTAACTTATAAATTCCGATCTTGAATACTTTAGTTTAGTTTTATTTATAAAAGCATAGTATTTATGATTTATGTGCTCAATTAAACTCAAAATCGTTATTAGCGACAGAAAGATAGTTCATTTAGGGTGGACAAAGGACCATTACAGCAAGTAGAAATTAATAATATAAAATATTAATTTGGATAAACAATGTATGAAATAATATTTAAAAAATAAGTTGTGATTATTTTAACGACCCACCTCGGTCTGTATGAGTAGGTGATCACATTTGACACGTTAGTAAATAAGGTGTGTTGTTCTATTCATAGGAGTGATACTTGTATGGTGCCATTTTAAACTTTTGTAATTTAGTTAAAACATTTACTTCTAAAAAATGAATGTGTCTAATTGTTCAGAGCCACTCTTCATCACTTTAATAAAAGACCGTAATTTGAAGCCTGATTTGAACATCATCACGTTGGTGGCTCTAGGGGTACTTCTACTTGCCTCGTTTGGAGTTTTCTTCAACCTGGTCATTTTCCTGGCCTTAGCCAAGTATAGGTCAAGGTCGTCGTTACGTCAGCGTCATGTGAGCACCAGCATCACGACGCTGCTGATGATGTCCACGTCTGTGTGTGAC